AGATGATCTGTCCACTGATGTAAGTGGGGTGTTAAAGTCCCCTATGATTTTTGTATTATTATCAATGAGTTCCTTTATATTTGTTATTATTTTATAGATTTGGATGTTCCCATGTTGGTTTCATAAATACTTAAATTGTGATATCTTCTTTTTGGATTGTACCCTTTATTATTATATAGTGTCTTTCAGTATCTTTTGCTATACTTTTTGTTTAAAAGTCTATTTTGTACAATTTAAGTATTGCTACTCTTTCTTTGGAAATTGATTTGGATGACTGATGTTTTTACATCCCCTCACTTTCAATCTACATTTGTCTGTATGTCTAAAATGAGTGTCTTGTAGGCAGCATATAGATGGACTTGTGCGTTTTTTTAATCCATTCTATCATTCTATGTCTTTTGATTGGAGCATTCAATCCATCTACATTCAAAGTATTATTGATAGATATATATTTATTGTCATTTTTATTTCCTCTTTTGTGATAGTTTCTGGAGATTTTTTCTGATCTTTTCTTGTCTTTCTCACGTTCATGGTTTGCAGATTTTCTTTAGTGATATATTAGGATTTTTTCTCTTTATTCATTGCATGTTTATTAATGGTTTTTGATAAATGGTTACCATTCAGTTTGTATATAACTTCTTCTGCAAATAGCACTCTATATTAAGTTGATGTTCATTCAAATTTGAACCTATTCTTTCCTCCTTTTCTCCCCACAATTTAGGTATATTTCACTATATTTTCCTTTCTGTGTGTATGAGTTCCTGAACTGATTTTTACAAAAAATATTCATTTTTATTGCTTTACTATTTCTTGCCTTTATTCTGTCACTTTTGGTCTCTCCTTTGCACTCAAAGAGTCCCCTTTAATATTTCTTGCAGGGCTGGTTTAGTGGTCATGAACACCGTTAGTTTTTGTCTGGAAAACTCTTTACCTTGCCTTCTATTCTGTACATTAGCCTTGCTTGACAGAATATTCTTGGCTGCAGATTTTTCCCATTCAGCAAGTTGAATATAGTATGCCACTCCCTTCTGGCTTACCAAGTTTCTGTTGGGAAATCAGCCGCTAGCCTTAAGGGTCTTCCCTTGTAAGTTAAGGACTTCTTTTGTCTTGCTGCTTTTAAGATCTTTTCTTTATGACTATATTTTACCAATTTAAATACACTATGTCTTGGTGTTGGCCTGCTTTTGTTGATTTTGATGGGAGTTCTCTGTGCCTCCTGGAACTGGATGTCTATTTCCATCCCAGATTAGGGACGTTTTCAGCTATTATTTCTTCAAATAAATCTTCTGCCCCCTTATCTCTCTCTTCTTCTTGAAAATCTATAATATAAAAGTTATTCCATTTGATGGTTATTGAGTTCCCTAAGTCTATTCTTATTTTGCATAATTGTCTCCTTTGCTCAGCTTCATTACTTTCCATTACTTTGTCTTCTAGGTCATTAATTAGTTCCTCTACTTCTTCCAGACTGCTGTTCATTGCATCAGATATTTCTAATCTTGTTTATTGCACTCTTCATTTGTGATTCTTTTTTAATTCTTTTATCTCTGTAGTTAGGCTGTCACTAACGTCTTCTTTTCTCAGTCCCAGTGAGTATCCTTATGAATGTTGCTTTTAATACTCTATCAGGCATGTTACTTATATCTGTTTTGCTTAGATTTCTGGCTGAGGCCTTATCCTATTCTTTCATTTGGGATATATTCCTTTGTCTTTGCATTTTGTCTAAGTCTCTTCTTCTGCAGGAGAGAAAAGCCAATTATGTCCCTACTCTTTTGTTCCTAGAGAGGTGTCTCTGTGAACACTGCCTCCCTCGCAGGGGCAAGCTCAGAGAACAGCAAACAATCTCCCCATGTGTGCCCCAGGTGTTTCAATGACATCTGTCCCTAGGTTGTTTGCCTGCCTTCTCTCAAGGCACAGGGCAATGCCCTCAGGGCTCTATCCCAGCCAAACCTGTTGACCTTTAAAACTCCAGGCTTTAAGCCTTGCTGGTTGCAAGAACTCAGGAAATTCAGCCCATCAAATTTTCTAAGTCAATGGATTTGGGGAAATGTTCTCCTTGTGCACTCCCCTGTGTCTCTCTCTCTCTCTCTCTCTCTCTCTCTCTCTCTCTCATTCTCTCATTCTCTCTCTTTCTCCCTTCTACTTGACCATGGCTCCATCCCCTACTCAGCAGCTGTGATCTGTTTGTCCCTTAAACCATATCTTTGCATGCACTTCCTACCTTCCTCCATGTGGCCTCTTTTCTCTCTTTAGTTGTGGAGTTTGTTTTGTCAGTCTTCAGGTCAATTTCTGAGGTATTTAGAATAATTTGGTAGTTATCTAGTTGTGTTCCTGAAATGAGCTGAGCCTAGAGTCCTCCTACTTCCTTTTTCTTCTCCTTCTCCTTCCATGCATTATTTCCCCTCTACTGTTTTTCTCTTTGCTTGTCTGTTTGTTTTACTGTCTTCCTAACTCTATTCCATATAAACAACAAGATACCTTGTGCTGTTTTCCGGAAAGTGAACTTTGGTCTGTTTTTCTTCACCAAAAACAGAAACACAAATTAGTTGATTGAAAAACTGATTCAATGTGCAGGAGACCACAAAATACTAGAGGACACAAATAAGACAGCCCTTGCTTTCTAGAGATCATAGTGGAAGTGATAGTCAGGTAAGGATATTTTAACTCAAGTCAAAAAACATACTTCTGAAGGGGCACCTGGGTGGTTCAGTTGGCTAGGCATCTTACTTCAGCTCAGGTCATGATCCTGTGGTCTGTGAGTTTGAGTCCCGCGTCAGGCTCCGTGTTGACAGCTCAGAACCTGGAGCCTGCTTTGGATTCTGTGTCTCCCTCTATCTCTGCCCCTCCCTCCCTCTCTCTCGCTCTCACTCTCAAAAATAAACATTTAAAAAATTTTAAAAAGCATACTTCTGAAAATAGTTCTGTTGTATCAACAAGTTTCTGGACTCTCCTTTACATGATATAAATGCAATCCATACAAACACACATACTTAAAAATCTGTAATACTCTGGGCACACACATTTTAAAATTACAACAAAAGTAAGGTACAAACTTACCATCATTTTTTCAAAAAGATCCAGTACTTCCTTTTCTGACAAATTCAACGATCGTTCATCATACAATGGCTGAGCTGCTGGAAACTCACTCATTGCAACTTGAGAATCAATAGGATGCTGAATAAAAGGTTTTTCTTTTTTGACAGTAGATTTTCTAAAACTTGTAATTCGGTCACGCTACAAAAAGAAAAAAAAAAGAAACTCTAAGAAAGAAATCCAGAATCATAAATATGAAGTACTGAAATATCAAAATAGCACTTAGTATAATACTGTCTTTTGACAAACTTATTTTAAGCAAGAATTTCTAGTTAGAGATTGCACAATTTTGAAACCTTTTAATTCAGTCTCAGAAGTCTGAGGTGTGAAAAGTAGTCCTCCAAGGTAAACCTTAGTGCCTCGTCATTTCCACTTTACACTGTAAATAGGTAAATAAAAGTCTTGCATCAAAGTTATGTAGTTGTTTGAGGGACAATAGTGGCAACTTTTGAATTATGAGAAATAAAGAAAGGAATAAAAAAGAGCCCCAATATTCACTTCTCAGGTGGGAAATTACAGTAATGTTTCTCTCTTCAAAGTGCCAAAAACTATGACAAGTATCTACGGATACCTTGCCAGCATAGTGGTCAAGTATAATGGTTAATAACAAAGACTCTGAAGCCAGACTGCCTGGGTTTGAATCTGTCATTTATTAGCTGAGGAACCCTGTGCAAATTACATGCTCTTTCTCTGTTTTCTCATCTCTAAAATACAGATAACAAGTATATATATTTTAAATAAATAATGATATTACCTACACTGCACAGGGTTATTATGAGATTCAAATAAGTTCATATGTTTAGTGTACTCAACTGCTATTTTTTATTCTTGTTACTATTATTTCCTTTACTTTTTTTCCCTAAAAATTGAGGATTAACAAGACATTACCTTTTCTATTTAATGGAAATGTTAACATAAATAAAAACGTCTTATTCCTACAAATACTATCATAAAGAACTTGATGTTTTACGGATATTAATTCTGTACCATTGATTCCACGTATAATCTCTAATAATTAGCACAATCTCTAATAATCAGCTTGCTATTTCATGTAAAGTGACTTAATGACTCCAGGTACATACAAAGAGCCCAATCTGTTTTAAACCACAAAATATCAGACATCAAAAATTAGTAAGGTCCATAAAACTGAATGCAACTCAGTTTTATTCTGGTTTCTGTTAGAAAGCACATGCATACCATCAACTCATGTTAAACAAGCAGACATGTTAGACGTGAGGACAGTGCATCTTCACTGTCATGTTACTGAGTCCTCATAAATTATTTTAAAAACACAAAAAGCATCACAGAAGTTATTACCCCAACTTATGTAAATTTCCACTGACCCCCCCCCCATTAAAAGAACATACTTCTTATTTTGATTCAAAGAACACTTTCTTAAAATTAAATGTACTTTTAAAGAAATATGGCCAGTTTTATACAACTTATTTAGGATTACAAAAATGATTTTAGAATATGGTTAATTGCAAAGAGATTATATAAATCATAGTGTTTTAGAATTGGGAAGAAACTTGAAAAATCATCTAGACCAACTCTCTCATTTCAGAAAAAAAGTAACTTGATAAATTTATAAGTCCCTGGTCCCTATCCTGGTGTTCACATTAAGATTCATTTCTTTACATCATCTTGAACTAATTCAAATTTTCTTTTAACTATTTAAGGAAAATTAAATTGGTTTAGATATGTATTATATCTTCGAACAACTCAAGAAAAAATATTAAGTAATCCCAAATAAGTTTGAGGACATATCCAACAGCCTAATTTCACTAAAAAATATGGTGGACATAAAAGCATTTAAATATGCAATCGAGCATTAAATCAAAATATCTTTGTTCCTGTCTCTTCATTGTCACTTTCGCAGTGCTAGCTTTTTACTGAGTAGCATTATTTACATATATATTTGATTTTCCACTATGCCTTTCATTTCTATCTAGAAAATTGGCTTTTGCTTTCAGCTATATCTTGATAAGAAAATGAATATAAGCCACATATTTTTACCTCCTTAAATCACAAATAATATGGTACATTATTTGTAATTTCACAAAGTAAAAAATGGCACTGCTTAAAATATCATTTTTTTAAAGTTAGCTATGAAAGAGCACATTTAAATGTTATGCCCATAAATTTTAATAAGTTTTACTATGATGGCCTCAGCTCAAAATATTTGCGGATTTTAAATTTAATAGCACGTATCTAGCTAAAGTAATAAACTTAGCTTTCTATATTAAATTAATTTCCCCTAATATTAATATTAATCTTTTACTTATTCACAATTTTCTTGGCTATCAAAAAGGAAAAAAAAAATAGGTGTTTTCCAGGTTAGATTTACATAGAGATTTTAAAATTTTGGTTAAGGTATGTTTAAGGATATCAAAATCTTGTTGAGTTCTCATAATTCTTTATACTGATTTTTCAAAAAAAGAAAAGTCATTCTATTGACGAATTGTCCATTTTACTATACTTTGTAAACATCTAGACATTTTATATCTTACATACATCAATGCTTTAATGTCCACCCACTTTAGTAAAAAGGCAACATGCATAAGTAACATAACAACATGCTACTAAAACCACCTTACCACATCATCTGCCAAAGTTTTTATTTGAATGTTCTATTAAAATCAAAAGGAAAAAAATACCTGTCAGATAAGAGAAATTCATAGATCAAACAAATAATTGAATGATGCTTATTTACTTATTAACTATAATCGAAAAGAATTAGCAAGTTTAAATATATAACTATATACATTCTTTACAAAAGGAGAAAAAAAATTTTAAGGATTAAAAATGAAGATTTGTAGGGGGGATACCTATGTCTTTTAAAGACTGATTTGACTTAAGATCCCAAAGTCAGATTTGGATCAGATACCATTACCATAGTGCTCAAACATGAGAAAAGATATAGCAAAATCATAACCCCTTTCAAGTTTGTTCAAAGTTTTAGAATTGACAATGTTTTTAAAATAAATTTTTTAAAAAAGGAGAAATGTCACATTTAATAGTAATCAAATAGCTGAGTGTAGATCTCAGTTACTCTGATATTTAAAAGGCATCTTTATAATTTTTTTTTTTCAACATTTATTTATTTTTGGGACAGAGAGAGACAGAGCATGAACGGGAGGGCAGAGAGAGAGGGAGACACAGAATCGAACAGGCTCCAGGCTCTGGAGCCATCAGCTCCAGAGCCTGATCGCTAATGAACTCACGAACAAGGACGGTGACCTGGCTGAAGTCGGACGCTCAACCGACTGCGCCACCCAGGTGCCCCTAAAAGGCATCTTTATAAATATTCTAGATAAAATTGAATTCACTGATTCTGTTAATATATACCTATTTCTAAAAAACTCCAACTCTTGTTTTTTGCATGGGATTTTCTACTTCTAATGCTGAAAAGCAATGAAAATGCTGTATCCTAATTAATACAGTGGCTAATACAAACTACCAAACAATAAAATGGGCACCACTATTTGGAGAACTAGAGTGCAGCAATACTAAAGTAATAAAGCAATATTACATTAAAGGAAAGTAATATTTAATAACTTAGTAATCTTCCATGATTTAGAAAATAATTCAAGATCTTACAATAACATATGATCAGCATGAAGGGCAGTTATTATTATATCATAAATATGTTGAAATGCTAATTAAAATTATGATTAGGAAGGAAAAAGATTTTTTAAATGTCTATTAGGAATTGAAATTAATCTTTCTGCCACACCCTGTACATTTAGTTCTTATAACAGAAGCTAAATGATATGCATCAACGTTGTTGTGCATGCTCACATTCCTTTTTACTAAGGAATCTGTGGTCATCCCACTAGTAAGGAGAATTCATGATGAGTTCTAACTAAGTGAGAATTATTTGGTCTCAGGATCTCTTGAAATTGTTCTTCAAATACCACCAACCAAATGCTTTTAAGGATCATCTTTCTCTGGATCAACTAGGACAAATACACTATTATATGTATAGTTGTTTTTTTTTTTTTCTACTTTTAATTCATTGATTCCCTCAGGGACACTACACATTTACATTTCTGCATGAGGTCTTCATCACATCCTGCTAACACAAACCTCAATCAATCTTTATTGCCTAGGAGAAAAAAGAAGGGGGAACTGAAGCCATTTTAAGAGAGATCAATCCACAGCAGGACTATCTCTATGTGGCATTTTCTCTTTAATTTTCCTTCTGGGTTAAAGAAAACTTTTATGCCCCATGGCAAGCTTCAGGATTACCTATAATATAAAATCAGAGTGAGAAATGTCAAATCAAAAGTACCTCAACTACCCTGCCACATTCCAGATATGTACCTGTCCACCTGTCTTATTAGTAAGTATATTAGACAATTCTTCAAGCAATTGCTGCTTTTCTTCTTTTTCCATTCTTTGGGGTTATAAACTCAAAATTAAATGCACATCTGTATCTTCAAAGTGAGAATGTAAATTAGGTGAAATATGATTTAATTTAGTCAAATTATCTAACTTAAGGTTTAAATATGTCTAGAATGCTTTAAATATATATCTCAATTGAATGTATGTTGACAGTTTGATCATGGGGTACAGAAACAAGAAAAAAAGTATTGCTAGTAATATTTCCACCTTCTCTTATGGGAAGAAATTTGAGTTTTATTTTCTACTCTCACTTTTTTTATTAAATTTTTTTCTATATTTAATCACATAGTATGGCATTAGAGACTATTAAAGTTGGGCAGAATTTAAGATAATCTGGTCAAAACTTTTCATTTTACAAATGATGAAACTGAAGCTTGAAAGAGGCTAAGTGATCTGTCCAAGGACCACAAATCTATCTGGTTACAAGTGCATGCTAACTTTCAGTCAACATACCAACTTTTCAGTTAGTATAATCAAGATCTACAATACTAGGACTGAATTACTGACTTGAAACAATTCATAGTAATCTCAAATTCACAGATACCCCCTTTAACTGTCTTTTCACATCTTTATCCAGGGAGTCAAGCATCTTATCAAAGAGCATTCCCCTGGCACCCAAAGTCCTTCCCCAACACATCTTACATGTAATCCTGCAAGGCCCTACTGATCTGTACTCTCTTCAGACCCCTCTAACCTCATTTCTTGCTACTGTCGCTTTAATTCCCTCAGCTCCAGTCACGCTGACCACCTTACTCTTCTTCAATAATGCAATAAAACACATGCACTGGCTCTTCCCGCTGCCTGGAATACCCTTTTCGATTTCCATATTTCCATATCCATTACTCCATAATCCCTCCTTAAAAGGAGTTTTTTGCTCAGTGAGACCCAATCTGTCCATCCTATTTAAATGGAAACACCAAGGTTAGAAGATGGCAGTGGAGTAGGAGGACCCTAGGCTCACCTCATTCCAGAAAACAACTAGATAACTATCAAATCACCTAATACCTCAGAAATTGACATAAAAAAAATTGACAGAACAAACTCCACAATTAAAGGTAGAGAAAAGGCCACATCAAAGAAGGTAGGAAGTGCAGAGACACAGTTTGGGAGGGAAACATCTTCCCCACTGCAGTAGGGAGGGAGCTGCAATCACAGAGAAAAGTGAGAGGTAGACTAACATACAGGGAAGCACAAGGGGAAAATAAAATCCCTGTAGAAACTGTCTTGGAAAGTAAGAGGGGCTGAATTTCATGACTTCCGACAAGAAGCAGGGCTTAAACCCTGGAATTGTAAAGGTCAATGGGCTTGGCTGCAATAGAGCCTAGAGGATATTACGGCTGCTGTTGGAGAGAAGGCAGGCAGGCAAAAAGACCTATGGACAAACAGCATGGCAACAGTGATCTGGAGAGCACCTAGGCCACAATATGGGGAGTTTATTTGTCATTTCAGAATGCATCCCAGAAAGGCGGCAATGGCAGGTGCCATTTCCCTCTGCTGCCTTTCTTCATAAGCACAGGGCTACCTGTGGAAAACATTGCTGTGCCAACACTTGCTACCTAACTTGCTTACACCAAACCCCACTCTCCATACCCCGGTAGAACCACAATTCTGGAAGTGCCACTTTCACTTGCCTCAGTGGCAGTGCTGTGGACCTCTGAATCGAGACTAGTCTAAACCTCTTCTCACACTGCATCCACCCACTTGAGATATTTGCAGTATTAGTTTTGGCAGCAGTGAAAAGGTCTCATTTCACAAGCAGACCAGAGCATACCTAGTCAAAATGGGCCACATTCAGTCCAGGGACCAAACATTGCTCACAAAAGGCAAAGAAAGTCTCTGCAGATGACTGGCCTGAAGGATAAAGTGGCCAGGAAAAAACATTACAGTACACAGAGCACACTAGAAGACACTGCCCAAAATGCCAGACCCTGGGAAATAGGGAAAACCACTACAGGACCTCTTCTTCATAACGCCATGACCCACAAGAACAGGAGACATAGCTGACTTCCCTAACACAGAAAAACAGACACAGAGACTTACACAAAATGAGAAGACAGAGAAATATATCCCATATGAAAGAACAGGACAAAACCACAGCCAGCGATCTAAGTGAAACAGATATAAGTAACATGCCTGATGGAGTATGTAAAGCAACGATCATAAGGGTACTCACTTGGCTTGAGGAAACAGTGGAAGACATGAGTGAGACAAATAACACAGAGATAAGGAATAACACAGAGATAAAAGGCATAAATGAACTGAGAAACATTCTTGATGGAATGAAGAGAAGGCTGGAAAAAGCAGAGGGAGTAATTAATGACCTAGAAAGCAGAGTAATGAAAACTAGCCAAGCTGCACAAAAGCAAGAAAAAATAATTGTGCAAAATGAGAATAGATTTAGGGAATACAGTGACTCTATCAAATGTATAACATTTATAGTACAGGAGTCCCAGAAGGAGAAGACAGAGAAAAGGGGGCAGAAAATTTATTAAAAGAAATAATAGCTGAAAACTTCTCTAATCTGAGGAAGGAAACAGATATCCAGATTCAGGAGACTAAGGGAAATCCCATCAAAATCAACAAAAGCTGACCCACACCAAGATATATTGTATTTAAATCGCCAAAATATAGCGAAAAAGAAAAAGTTATAAAGCAGCAAGACCAAAGAAGACATAACATACAAAAGGAAGCCCCATAAGGATAGCAGGGGATTTTTCATCAGAAACTTGGCAAACCAAAAGGGAGGGGCATGGCATATTCAAAGTGCTGAATCAGCAGCCAAGAATACTCTATCGAGCCAGGCTATCATTCAGAACAGGAGGAGAGATAAAGTGTCCCAGACAAACAAACACTGAAGGAGTCCATGACCACTAAACCAACCCTGTAAGAAATACTAAAGTGGACTCTGAGTGGAAAGGAGAAACCAAAAGTGACAGTATGAAGGTATGAGATACAAAAGTAGTAAAAATATATTTTTCTGTAAAAAAAAGTTAAAGACCCCACAAAATAAAATGATATAAAATATGACACCATATACCTAAAACATGGGGACAAGAATGGGTTCAAACTTATATGACCATCAAATTAATATAGACTATTATATGAAGAAGAGATTATATACAAACAGAATGGTAACCATACATTAAAAACAACTAATAAAAATTCAAAGAATAAAGAGAAAAATTCCAAATATATCACTAAAAAAATCAGCAAACCATAAAAG